CTCGAAGCGTTTTAGCAGGTCGGTGCGGAAATGCTACCACGTGGCTTCGTCGTGGATGAAGTTACTGTTACAACCGATCCACTCGAGTGCCGGTCCTCGCATCAGTGTCGCCGCGAATCGTACACGTTGACCGTCCCAGACTAGCGAGCTCCATCCGACGGCTGCGAAGTAGATCTCCACGCCGGTGATCCATCTGCGGACGTTGGAATTTCGATCGCTTTGATCGAATGGCTCAGGTGGGTGCGGTTTCGGAGCCTCGAGAAACTGCTGCGACTGCTGCGTCGTCGCCGTTGTCGTGTCGTGCTGCGCGCCGGCGAGTCAAGTTACTCGCTCGAACTCGTTTCACCAAGCTTTGCGATCGGCTCGCATCTCCTCCTGAAGGGCGGCGATGCTCGCGAAGAGCTGGTGGGTAACCTCGACGTTGTCGAAGTTTGCCATCCTGTTCAAAACACGCACGGAGGGGTGAATTCGAAAAGACGCGGAGCTGGTGCTTACCAGAACCGTCGCCGAATTAGTCGCCCCCGACGGTTTTTCAAAGCAGGTTTTCCCGCTGCTTCTGCTTAGCTGAGCGCGGCTGAGTGAGAAAAGCTCTGATTACCAAGTGTCACATGATCGAATGTGTCGAGGAAAAGTTGCACTATCGATTGATAGAAGGCGCTTTTATTCTTCCAAAGTAGATCAGGTAACCAGGTTTATCCTATCCAAACGGAATAAACCCTTCTAGAAATAGAATCACCCTGCGTATAGCCATGCAAGGCTATTGGCTTTAAGGGATTACGACAGGATTACGCTAGATATAGCGTGCCAGTACATTCCGAGCCTGGTCGGTGATATAATTATTATAACAGGATAAACCAAAGGATAATGGAATAGGAGAAATAGGAAACCAAATGAGATGAGAGACAAATAGGAATGAAATAAAAAGGAGATATGGAAAGGGAAATTGGTGTAACGGGGTCGTACTCTCACACCTGGCCATGAAAACGGTCTCCCTACAAGGAATTCGCTCTCGCATACGTTTGATGTGCGTTGAAGTTGTTGGCGATCCGACCTGCTTCGTGAACGTCGTTGGCTGTCGTAGGCGAATTTTGTATCGAATCTCCTACTTCGGAGAAGTGATGAACTGGGCCTTCTTCTCGAAATTGTAGATGCCCATAATTTGATTGCACGACGCCATAAATACGGACGCGTATTCTCGGACAGAACTCCATTGGAGCCAGTTGTCCAGCTTCGTGCGTGTGTTGTCCGAGGCAGATATTGGTTCGAATTTTTTCACGCAGAGCTGTAACTTAGGGCGCGTTACATTTTGGACAAATGCGTGTTCAAACATTGAATGTTTTAGGTGTAGATGTGGTAACCTGAGACGTAGCTAACATCCGCGTCTTTTTACTACAGCGGTCAAAACGTCTCGGAATGTAACTCCCGCCATATCGAACGCACGCCCATCAAACGTGACTGCCGCGTCCGGCTAACACCGCAAAAGTACCGAGTTGCCAGCAATCTCACTTCACGAAGTTTTGCGCCAGTCGCAAATTTTGTCTAGCCGATTCAGCTGCTGTCTTTGTGGCCCAATTAGTTAAGCAAGCTAGGAAGCCATGACTATGGCGTGAGGGTTTATGTATGAGAAAAATGTCGAGAGGAAAGAGACTTGACTAGGCACGTGAGGCCGCGTTTGGAAGTTTGGCCGAACTTTGAAGTTTAGCCACTCGACTCGCCACGTCGGAAGTGCACATTGCAACGTTTGGCGGGGCGATTCGAACTTTGGCCAACCAACCCCTACTACACCTTGCCGGCCAGAATTCGTGCGACTGGGGTCCACGAATAGCTGCGACCGAGGGCGAAACCTGGTTTCTGCATTTCTGACCGGCCATACCAAAGAAACGTGACGTCGACCAAGCCACAAAAACAGCACCAATCTGCCCGGCGCACGAACAGCCGTCAAACTGCGAAGGCTGCACCCTTCTTCACCAAAGCCTTCATCAACACCCCAACCAGAAGGAGATAGCCTTAAAACTCGCGTGTTAACTTCCTCGAGTTTCGTATCTTTGGTTGGGAGATCCCTAGAAGTGCTGCATGATAGCTAATCCCGTCTTTCCAGCCAACCAACTTACCTGCCGTTGAACTGCTTGGCACACTGGGTTTAATTTTTTATTATGGTGAAAATTTTGTGAAAATTTTCCAAGGCAACTTTCCCAAAATTTTATGGAAGCTGGCCGTCAGGTGTCGCAGTCCTCTGCGACCCAGATTGTGTTCTGTCGGACATCGTTCTGCAGTTCGCCTGTCAAATTGATTTGGCACGATGGGGTTCCGTTCGCAAAATGTCGAGGGTTGGTCGCCTAGTTTTTTGCATCGGTGTTGTACCCTCTACAGTAAGATCCACAAAATAGCACACCTACCAACCTACATAAATCATAAATAAGGAGATAATTATAATACAGTTTTGTGTGTCTTCAAGTTCGTCTTGTCGCGGCTTCGCCGCACCGCGAATTTTGCAAGTTGAATCATCAAAGGGCGAACTGTGGGATGGTTCTGCACCTCTTTTTTCGAACCCCGGTCAAGCTCGACGAACGAGGTGTTCGTCAGAAATCGCAGAAAACACTTTTCTGTCGAAAATGTAACGCTCCCATACGCCTTCAATGTGCGAAACCTGGTTGATCGGAAAATCACAGTTGACCCGTGTCGCTTCCGAAACTTTTCCCCGCCTCAACGGCACGGCGAAAACTGAGGGGGAAACATCGTTGCAAGTTTAGCTAAGCGCTATGGGCAGATTGTTTTTGGTTTGACAAGGGCAGATTGGGAGGGATGATGATAGGTGGTTCTTTCAGTCTTGCATTTGTTGGTTTCGTGTATGTTCGCTCCGTTTCGCCATTTCGATCGGACTAAAAAAATTGGTTTGTGGGACATTCGGTTCGGTACAAGTCATATGCCTTGTAGACGACTTCCTTTTATGCCCAGGAGTACTCCATAGGCATTTTATCCTTGTACGCAAAGTGTACCTGTGTCATGTGAACAGTACTCATTACAGTCAATTGTCAACATTTTTCGAAAGCCAATCAGTGTTTTCGTGCGACGATTTTCAATGGGAGGCGATCTGACACTGGTTGTTTGTGTCAGAATCGTCAACCAATGCTCGGAGCCGAATCCACATCACTTTCTGGAAAATCCAACAACCACTAGACCAGCCATTTATGTTCCTCCACGTTTGCCCCACAAATTGTGTGAGTAATGTTTGTACATTTGGGGGCTTGTTTTATATCACTCTGAAATGAATCCGGATGCACAAACAGGACTGGTCACCGCTCTCGTCGATGTTCGCCTACCCCGTTCATTTGCGATTTTCTCAAATGTAAACACCTTTTCCTTGTTCTTGATAGAGCGCATTGAATGTTGTGTGGAATCTAAAACTTTACCATGAACCCTGAGTTGACGCGCGTGCGATATGGTGAGCGACACCTGATCGCAACAAACGCCAACACTGCCGACCATGAACAGTTCATAAAATACAAGCAAAAAACATTTTGCGACACGCCAGAGTCCCGTTTGCCCGAGCATATTCCATGTACGCGAAATCCCCCGAGTCGCCCCCCGGGCTCTCAGGGAATATGACATGTACCAAACTTCTCTGTCTGGGCAGAGGGGTGTTCGGAACTCAATGTACCAGACTTGCCTAGTTCAGAACACCAGTTGTATGCGAAAGTAACCATTTTCACGAGGCTCGTCAAACAATCGCGATAGCCCGGAGATTACCATCCCACAATGCGTGACCCACCCAAAATACCTGTTCTTTCCATGTTCATTTCAGTACTGGTGGCATGCTCGCCCCTCGCGAAGTTCTGCGAAACAATTCGTCGAACATCGGTTCGGAAAATCGCATGTTCATACATTTGTGACGCGCCCTAAGGACGTGCTATATGCGTCCGGTACTCCGATCATTTTCCGATCTTGGAACTGTAGAAAGCTGGTAACCCGAAAGCTACAGTTGCCTCGAAATTGTCATGTGCAGATCGGAGGGCTTTCGAAGCAAAACCGAGAATCAATCGCACATCCAAAACACTAACGATCCTCCTCGACGAAGTCCCAGATCGCCTCACCCCAAATGCCACGAAATCAAACGCGCTTCGCCAGCTCGCCATTGCGAAAAATGTTGGGTGGACTCGAGTCACCGTGAATTGTGTGTTGGAAATTCCGAATGTCCTGGGAGGGTTGCTGGGTTTCACGAAGTGTTCTGCGAAATGCCATGCCGTCCAGCTGCAAATCGATACTCGAGATCGGAAGTTGCAAATCTGGGACATGGGCTGCGTTCTGCAGGCAAAAAAGGAAAGTGCAGATTACATCAGAGCAGCTTCCGAAAGCGAGAGATTTTGCTTTGGATCGAGGGTCAGCCCGCAAATTGTTGCCCAAACCAGGCACAAGGTACCCGAACCTAGTTACATCGACATGCCTGCAGAACAGGTCCATCCACAGATGATATCTATGTCAGGGAAACACCCCACATCACTTCCCTCCCTGGCAAATCTGACGCAAACTTGACGCAATGCTGATGTTCGCTCAATCGCGGAGTTCACCTTGCCTGTGGCATTACATCAACCACAAGGGTGTATTAGGCCTCCACACCCGAAAAAATACAACTACCACCACTTTACCCCACCTCGCGAACTTGGGCCTGCCCTGCAAAAAAACAGCTGCTGAACAAACCCATCGCCAAAGAGAGTCGTACTGAGGGCATCTCAACAAACCCTAGGTTCTTTTTTCGTCATTTTGCCCCTGAATATTTCTCAACTGCCCGGGGGCAGCTGGTTCTTGTTGCGCAATTGTGAAATTCGCTCCTCTCCTTTCGCTTGCGCTTTCCACAATTTGGCCGTGTGGCTTCCAAGCGAGGTTGGGAAAGTACACCTGGTTTGGGTGGTAACCAGTGCTCTCGAAGTCGCCTGGAGCTTCCTCAATGTCGACGTCGACGTCAACGTCAAATGCCTGCAGAACCTAGCCTTGGTTATGTTGCGTACGTGGTCGAGATTGCAGATTCGTTTTTACTGAGAGATTCGATATCCTTAAAAAAACAGAGTCGAAAAAATTCACGCGATCCTCCGAAACGGACGCAATGTAGCGCGCCCTAAGCACGCAACGTTCCTGGCTCTCCTGGTGCTGGGTGTCGTCCCTTGTGCTTGATGTCCGAGCGTCCTGTTGCACGTGTCGCAGCTTAGACGAGCTGTCGCACGTGTCGCCAGCGCCAAGTCGCCCCTCTGGTCGCGCAAAGAGCCTCGCTGTGCCCATGGCGTACCGTCAGCCACTCACCTGCCCACGTGTTCCGCTGTTTCTCGCAGCGGCAGTGCTCCTGCTGCTCGCACGCGCAACGCCACGTGGAACAGCGTCCGGGCAGCCCGAAATCTCAGTGGGTGGGGAGGCGGGGCCCGAGCACGCCATGTCGCTCTATCGGGTTGAGTGCGCCTCGAGCCCCTTCCGTCGGGCATTCCGTTGCCCCCATCGCCTCTTGGGCTCTTCTGACGAGGAAGTGCTCGCTCCATCTTCTCTTTTCCCCTCTCTCTCTATTTTCCCCCGTCCTTTCTTCCGTCCACTTCCCGCTTTTCCGATCATTCTGCCTCCTGTTGGCCCATTCCCCTTCCCTCTCCATCCACCCCCTTCCAACGTCCTCCCCCCCCACACCCCCCCCTTCTCCCCCCCTGCAGGCCTGGACGGATGCCTACGGGCTCTCCCCCGACTCGCTGCTGCCCCCCTCCTCCGTCTCCCTTCCGCCCTCCCTATCCCCCGCCCCTCATCTCGAGGACTGCGCCGCGCTCACAGCCCTGCGCCAGCAGGCGGAGCAGTGGGGGGAAGGGGGGAAAGAGGGGGAGAAGGGGAAGGAAGGGGAGGTTGACCCGCCTGCGTGGGCGAGGCCCGTGGACTCCTGCAACCCCACGCCCTACCCGCCCTGGGTCAGTTGCCCCACAACTCACCCTCTTATTCCGCTGCACCTCTCGCCTACCCTCTCCCCCCTCGATCACCCTCCCGCCTGTACATCCTCCCGCCTGTACACCCTCCCGCCTGTACACCCTCCCGCCTGTACACCCTCCCGCCTGTGCACCCTCCCGTCCCGCCTGCACACCCTCCCGCCTGTACACCCTCCCGCCTGTACACCCCCCCGCCTGTACACCCTCCCGCCTGTACACCCTCCCGCCTGTACACCCTCCTGCCTGTACACCCTCCCACCTGTGCACCCTCCTGCCTGTACACCCTCCCGCCTGTACACCCCCCCGCCTGTACACCCTCCCGCCTGTACACCCCCCCGCCTGCACACCCCCCCGCCTTCACAGCCTCCCAGCGCCGATGGTTGTTTCCCCCTCCCTCTCTCCCTGAAGGTGCGGGGGACGGACGCGGCCAATCTGGCGATGACACGCGTCGTGCAGCGGGACATCTGGGCGAACCAGTTCCCTGGCGGCCCCTCCTGTGCTGGCAGGCGCCTCCTGGTCGTGTCGTGGGCGCCGGACCACAAGCACGGCGTGGGCTCGCAGGTGTGGGGGGGGGGGGGGGTGTGGGGTTGCAGATGGGGGGTGTGTGGTGTGCTGGTAGGTGTGTGTGTGTGGGTTGCTAGTAGGTGTGTGTGTGTGCCCTTGTGTGTGTGGGGGGGGAATCTCAGGGGTGTGTGTGTGTGTGTGTGTGTGTGCCGTTGCGCGTGTGTGGCTGCACTGGGATCGGAGCTGATTTCGAAGAGGCTGGTGCTGCTGTCGTGGGCGCCGCCGGACCACAAGCGAGGACTGGCGCACGGGGTGGCGCACAGGGTGGCGCATGGGGTGGCGCATGGGGTGGCGCATGGGGTGGCGCATGGAGCGGCGCATGGGGCGGCGCATGGGGTGGCGCATGGGGGGGCGCATGGGGCGGCGCATGGGGCGGCGCATGGGGCGGCGCATGGGGCGGCGCATGGGGCGGCGCATGGGGCGGCGCATGGGGCGGCGCATGGGGCGGCGCATGGGGCGGCGCATGGGGTGGCGCATGGGGGGGCGCATGGGGTGGCGCATGGGGCGGCGCATGGGGTGACGCATGGGGTGGCACATGGGGTGGCACATGGGGTGGCGCATGGGGTGCTTCTGCCATCAGATGCCTGTATCGCAGGTGCCTGTAACAACGTCCTTTCCCCTCCATATGCCTGCACTGCAGGTGCATGTAATGAGCTCCTTCCTCAGCATTGCCATGCGCTACAATCGCACCCTCGTCCCCGACCCTCTCAACTATAACAGGGCATACACAAACGAGTGTGCAGGTGAGAGTTGTGACTCGCAAAGTAGAGAGTGTGAGTGAGTGATTTTTCACAGTTCGATCTATGTGCGCCATGCTTTCCATTACAACATCCATTACTGCGGCCACCACCATATGGTAATGGTGGTAACCAATTCCATGTGGTGGTTACCAGTTCCAGCGCCATATGCATTTCTCGCACCATCGCGTCTCACGAGGCCTCATTACATTAGAGCATTGCACCATTCCCTGAACCCAACCAGGTCAGAATCCAAAGCCACATTGCACGTCACATGGCACCACACAATCTGCAACGCCCACAGCTAACCTTGCTCCCGTATCCACACGCCTGTCTGGTGCCCTGTGTCGTCCCACTCGCCTCCCCCCCTCGTCGCCCCCAGACATGAACCAGTCCGGCAGGTGGGAGTGCTACTTCTTCCCGCTGGTGGCGTCTGACTGCGAGCGCGTGGTGCTGGCGGCCAAGGATGCCAACAGTGTGGAGTGGAGCAACGCGGGCATCGGGGCGCTGTGTGCGTCGCAGCACAGAGTGGTAGGCGTGCTGGGCACGCCGTACCTCGAGCTGGACCACGAGGCGGGCATCGCGCAGTGAGTGGATGACTTGCCCTGTCGGCTTGTGTGGGAATGGCGTCCGTGCGAGAGAGGGATTGGGAGAGAGAGAGTGGAGAGCCATTGGGGAGCGAGATAGTTCTCTGTATAGAGGGGAAAGAAGAGTTGTGTATGATTACGTCTGCTTTGTGGTCTCTCCTCCGGGCCCCCCTTACGTTTGTCTCTCAGGCGGTGGGGGCTACCCCATTTGGACCGCCCCAGCACTGTCTGGTTTCCACCTGGCGCCGCCCACAACAACGAGAGGACGCCTCAGGTGCTCGCAGCAACGCCCATGCCCATGCCCATGCCCATGCCCATGCCCATGCCCATGCCCATGCCCATGCCCATGCCTATGCCCGTGCCCGTGCCCATGCCCATGCCCATGCCCATGCCCATGCCCATGCCCATGCCTATGCCCGTGCCCGTGCCCATGCCCATGCCCATGCCCATGCCCATGCCCATACCCGTGCCCGTGCCCTCTCATGCCCATGCCCCTCCCCATGCCCATTCCCATGATATGCTGATTCCACTATGCTCTCGTTTTCCTTCCTATATCCCATGCTGCCCTTCTCTTGCTTCCAATTCATCCCTCCATTCCCTTCCTTCAGGTCCATCGGTGGCGGGCGCAGGCGGTGCGCGTCGTCCCTCCTCGGATGGATTTGCACTGTGTTGCCCCGGTTACCCCCTCGACCCCCACCCAAAGGTCCACTGGACGCAGGCAGTGCACTTGCATTTCTAAACCTCTACTATTGTGCTGCTCCCATTCCCCCTTTGCCCCTGGACCCCCCCACCCCCCCTCCTCCAGGTCCATTGGTGGCGGGCGCAGGCGGTGCGCTTCATGCTGAGGTGGCCATCAGCCCATCTCTGCCATGTCATCAACCGACAGAGGCACACCGCCTACGGCATGCACGTAGCCAATCGCATCGCTCGCTTCGCGGAGACGCAGTCAGAGCTACTGGCTGCCATCAAAGCCGCCTCACAAGCCAACTCAAGTGCCAGCAGCGGCAGCGGCAGCAGCAGTGATGCGATTGCCACCATGGCAGCAGCGAGGCTGCCTGCGGAAGCTGCAGCGTTGGGGGGGATTTCATTTGCGTCACCGGACATTCAAGCAGCCCTGGCGCACACGCCATGGGCGTACGAGGCTCCGCCATCTCCTCTGCCGCACGACCAAGCAGAGGAGCAGAGGGGGCTGGAGGGAGTGGGTGTGCCTGAGGGGGGCGAGGGGAGTGGCGGTGGCAGCAGGTGTGGGGCGGAGCGGAGAGGCCACAGCATTGCAGCTGAGGCAGTGAGAAGGCTGGCTGCTCAGGTGAGTAGGGGCATGGTGAGTGGAGCAGGTTGTGAGGAGGGGCAGTGCTGATATGCAGAAGCTGGGCTGTGAGTTCTCCTCCACCTCACTCATGTCCTTGGTCCTCTGAGTGCACACCCGGAGTATCACCCACTCACGGTGAATAGAAGCAGGCAGAGAAGGGTAGCACGGAGGAAGCAGCGAGGAAGCAGGGAGGAAGCACGGAGGAAGCACGGAGGAAGCACGGAGGAAGCACGGAGGAAGCACGGAGGTGGAACCATGCTTCAGCAGCGCCTTTGCTGCCCATGGGGTCCGCACTCCCCGCACAATTCCATTCCCTGACTCTCTACCTCTCCTCTCAATCCTCTCCCCACACGTAGGACGCTAGTGGCCATGCGTTTGAGGCATGAGAAAGAAAAGGCGCTGCCCGTCTATTCCGGCGCCGCTGTCCTTTTTCTCACCCCTCTCTGCCGCGTGCAGGTGGGGCGGGACGCATACATGGTGCGGCCGCTGGTGGCGGTGCATGTGAGGCAGAGCGACAAGGAGGAGGAGATGGAGCTGCTGCCGCTGCCCACCTACCTGTACTACGCGCACCACCTCAGACACCTCCTGCCCGACCTGCGCCACCTGTGGATCAACACTGAGTCCCAGGTCAGTGCTGCCCTTCGCCAGGTCAGTGCTGCCCTTCTCCAGGTCAGTGCTGCCCTTCGCCAGGTCAGTGCTCCTCTTCCGCAGGCCAGTGCTGCCCTTTCCCAGGTCAGTTCTGCCCTTCCCCAGGTCAGTGCTCCCCTTCCCCAGGTCAGTGCTGCCCCTTTCCAGTGCGCAATGCACAGTGGACCATGCGTGCGTGCATGCCACGTGCACATGACCATAGGTTCTTGTGCGATGTCATGTCCGTAGTCGGAGAGTCTGGTCCTGTCCAGCAATTTCCTCCGATAGATCTCTCCCACTCTCTAAGCCCCTTGTGCGATGTCTCAACCTTCCATCTTGCCTTCTCGCCCCTCCTGTTGACTGGCATCTATGCCAGGCTGTGATTGACAGTCTCACTTCGTACCGGGATTGGACGTTTCTCTACAGCAAGAACGCTCGGCAAACGTCCACGTCCCACAACACACGAGAGTACGATGATAAGCAGTCAGTGGCTGAGAGCTTTGCAAGTGTGCTTATAGCGTCGCAAGCTGACTTGTTTATCGGCACACTGGGCTCAAATTGGAGTCGATTAAAGAACGAGCTGCGCTCAACGAATGGGCGGCTTTTCAACCCCTTCATTGCGCTCAACGATGGAGAGTGGTGATTTATAACGACTGGAATACTGTTCAGCCTCTCCCCAAAATAGCGGAGGATCAAGATTTGAAGACTCATGCGGTGAATTGTTTGAATTGCAGAATGAATGGAAAGGTCCTTCTATACTTGTTGGAAATATCTCGAGGACTTGAGCGTTTCTGAAGTGTAACACCACACTCGAGGAAGATTGTAACGGGTACGCGAGTCAACGGAGGTTACACGAGGGGATGGACAGAGAACACGAAAGGACTCGAAGGGTCGCAACCGGAGGTTGCGTGTTATGAATAATAACTGAGAGTGCGCGGAATAATAATGACGAGTACAAGAATGCTAGCCTAGCATTATATAGTGAGAGCTCTAGCTAGGCGACGAAGTCGGAGGGCTAGGTTGGGTACAGGCGCGGTCGAAAGGGTCGGAGGCGGCGCGGGCGTGCCTCGGGGTCGCGACGGAAACGGACCGAGCCTGGTGTTCCGAGAGTTCGGGTGTACGCGATTGCAGTACAACCCGGTAAGGAATAAAATTCCTTACACTACCCCCCCTCTTAAGGAAGGTGATCAATATCGGGAACACTTTTTCGGGTCAAATAAGATTTGAGCACCGAGTGTTCCTTAATCGAGTCGGAAGTGACCCAGGTGTCGTCTTCGCTTGTACGGTCGACCCAGCGGACAAGAAAATCCACGTGTCGTCCTGTCGAGTCGAGGCGAACGCGATGACTTTAAAGCCGGAAAGGCTCAAGCGTTGGTTCAGCCAGTGGGCGGACACTTGGGGCGGCAGCTGGTCGTGCGACTGCAGACGTGCTGGCGACGTAGGGACGAAACATGCTGACGTGGAAGGCGTCGTGAATGCGCCACTCGTCCGGGAGTAATAACTTCGCTGTGACAGGTGTCACCATCTTGACAATACGAAAAGGGCCACAGAATCGCGGGCGGAGTTTTGACGGCAGGGGCAATCGAAGGTTCTTCGTGTCGAGGAGGACTAGTTGCCCAGCGGTCATCGTAATATCGCGGCGATGAAGGTCTGTATAGCGTCGAGCAGTTGTGTTGGACTTGCGAATGAATTCGATCGCTTTATCCCGGGCAGCTTGCAAGCTGGTCACGAACTGTTGGGAACGTGGCACTGGGTTGTCCATGTTGGTAGTCGTTGGGAAGGTCGGATCCATCCCGTAGTTTAGGAAAAACGGCGAATGAGTAGTCCTAGCAGATGGGGCATTGTTGTAGGAAAATTCCAGCATGGGCAGAAATTCTTCCCACCGGGCAGGATCGGGGCAGTTGGTGCGTATTAGCTGCTCCATGGTCTGATTGGTTTGTTCAGTCTGGCCGTCGGTTTGAGGATGATAGGCGGAGGAAAATTGGAGGTGTGTGCCGTACTGGGCCCATGTCTCTTGCCACAACTTGGACGTGAATGTTGGGTCGCGGTCGCTGATGATCGCTGATGGGACGCCGTGTAAACGAACAACGGTGGAGATGAATAGTTTTGCTGTATCCTCGGCTGTGATTGTTGTGCGACAGGGTGCGAAATGCGCCATCTTCGTCAGTCGATCGACGACGACGAGGACGGCGTCGTTGCCCGTTGCGGTTGTCGGAAGTCCCGTGACGAAGTCCATCGTCGCGTGTTGCCACGGTCGCTGGGGTGGCTCGAGCGGTTGCAGCAGTCCAGCTGGCCGCTGTCGAGAGGACTTCATGCGTTGGCAGATCGGGCACGCACATACGTATCTCTGCACATCAGACGTCGAGTCAGGCCAATAATAAAAACGGTGAAGTAATTTATGGGTTTTGTCAACCCCGAAATGATCGGAGAGGTTAGAATCGTGGACTTCTTGAATCAGTAATTCGCGGAGGAGTCTGTAGGCGGGAACCCAGATACGGTCGGTACCAGCTTTTAGGAAGTAGGGTCCTTTGGCTGTGGTGGCTTGCTGGTGAAGGTTGCGGGTGAAAAATGGGTCTGTGGTATATCCGTGGGTAAATAGGCCCGTGAGCAGCGGGTTGGATTTTGCGATGATGATGGAGGCGAGGTGGGAGGATGGTCTTGTCAGTGCGTCGGCGATGTTATTCGCCCCACGTTTGTACGTGATGGTGTAATGGAAATTACTTTCGAGGAAGTCCAGCCAGCGAATCTGCCGTGGATTGAGGTTCGGCTGCGCGCGGAGGTACTGTAGGGATTTATGGTCCGTCCGTACTGTCACGTCGGCTCCCGTCAGGTAGCATCGCCACACATTGAATGCGTGCACGATGGCGAGCATTTCTTTGTCGTGGACGGGGTAGTTGCGTTCGGCTGCCTGCAACTTCCTAGACTCATACGCGATGGGTTGGAGTCCGTCGCCAAAATCTTGTAACAGTATCGCACCGATGGCGAAATCGCTAGCGTCCGTCAAGACTTCGAACGGTCGAGATGGGTCGGCGATTCGGAGGACCGGGGGCGATGTCAGAAAATTTCGCAGTTCATCGAAAGCAGTCTACTGTCTCTCCCCCCACTCAAACAAAGTGCCCTTCCGCAACAGCTCAGTTAACGGTCCGGTTATCCCTGCCATATTGGGGATAAACCTCCGGACGTAATTAACGAACCCGAGAAAACTTTGCAGCTCCTGTAAATTCGTCGGCGGCTTCCAGTCGCGAATCGTGGTGATTTTCTTCGGGTCGATTTTGATGCCGTCCGCTCCCACCACATGTCCCAAAAATTCCAGTTCGGGTTTTAGAAACTCGCACTTAGAGCCCTTCGTAATGAGGCGGTGTTCTTGCAGCCGCTGGAAAACTTGCTCGAGGTCCTTGAGGTGCTGTTCCTGTGTCGTGTTGTAGATCAGAATGTCATCAAGGTAGACGATGACACAGTTGTCGAGTAGATCTCGGAAGACGCCATTCATGGTGAGTGGGAATGTGGAGGGCGCGTTCGTGAGGCCAAACGGCATCACGGTGTACTCGTAACTGCCATATCGGGTTCGGAACGCCGTCTTGTGGCAGTCGTCAGCGAAGACTCGGATCTGATGGTAACCGCCGCGTAAGTCGATTTTCGAGAAGAAGCGAGCTCCGCGAAGTTGATCGAGAAGATCGTTCGCGCGTGGGATTGGGTAGCGAGACTTAATGGTTCGCCGATTCAGCGCCCGGTAGTCGATGCACATTCGCAGCCCGCCGTCTTTTTTTGGCGTGAACAGGATTGGTGCCGCGAACGGGGACGTGCTGGGCCTAATGAACCCCTTCTCCAAGAGGTAGTCCAGCTGGCTCCGCAACTCCGTGAGTTCGGGCTGAGTCAGCCACCACTGGGTCCTGACTGTAGGCTGCGCGCCGGGTTCCAGGTCAATTTTGTGGTCCTGTGGGCGCTCAGGTGGCAACCCTGCTGGCAGGTCGTTCGGAAAAATATCCGGGTATCGTCGAATCAGCGTGGCGAGCTCGGCAGGGACATTGGCACAAAGTGTGTCAATGTCCTTTGGCGTGTCATTGACCGTTGCTTCAGCCAGGTGGACGGCGTACAGATCAGCTCCTTTTTTAACTGCTCGCTGGAGAGTGATGGCGTTGACGCGTGTCGACACCGGATCCCTCCCACGCCAGCTCGGAAGTACGCCCCACCCGTTTACACAGTGCACGCTGCATTCGCCAGTTGTCCAGTCAATCCTCGGGTTGTATTTTCGCAGCCAATCACGCCCAAGAAGAATGTCGCAGCCGTCCAGCGTCGTGGCCAGCATGGGCATGCTGAATCCGAAGTCGTCGCCACACTTCATCCGCACCATTCACGCTCGTTCTCGAATTGCAAGTGGAGTTCTTTCCACCAGGCGCGCGTCGATTTCGGGAAGACACTTTTCCAACGTCAGCTTCAACTGCTTCGCCGTTGTTACGTGTATGAGACTGTGACTAGCTCCGCCATCCACAAATAATTTTATTTTTTTGCCGTTAACCTTGCCTTCGACCAGCACAGGGTGATCTTCAGGTTCGCTCCTGTTATTCGTCCGAGTGCGGTCGATAGCGTGTACCGGTACCACAACTTGGTGGGAACGTTGAAGTTCGGGCGACAAAGCCTCGTCAGTAGGGGGCCCGTTTGCTACTGACTTTTCCCATTTCCCGGCTTCTCCTTGTCGTTCTTCGTCTTCTTGGGCGCCGTCGGGCAGTACTTAGCTCGGTGACCTGGCTTGTCACATCGAAAGCATAGCCCGTGAAATATTTCATCGGGCGCTAACACGCCATTGATCGTGGGGCGGGGAGACTGTCCACGAAAACGACCAACATCCCTGTTGTTCTTTCTCGCCCACTACTGCAGTGCATCGGCTGCTGACGCCAGCTGGACAGCTTCATCGAACGTCTTGGGACGGGACCGCTGCAACTCGTATTGAATATCGAAATGCAGCCCGCTAACGTATTTGTCCCGCCTTTCCGCTTCGCTAAGGTCGTCGACTTGGTCTGAAAGTGCCGAGAACGACGCAGTGTAATCTTGAACAGTAGTCACCTGCCGCCAGTTGCGCAGCTTCATGCGAGCGTCGTCTGAGGCGGATGAGTGCTCAAAACGAGCTCGCAGAGCTGTACCCCACTGTTTCCACGTGCGAATCGTGGTCGTACCGAATATTGCTTCTGCTTGTTGGTTTGAAGAGTCCGAAGTCCCGTCCTTTGCGTGCTTCACTCCTGCCGGAGTCCCAATCACCAACTGTCGGTGCCACCAATCCAACGCCGGTCCTCGAAGCAGCAACACGGCATAATTAATGCGCGCGTCATCCGTGTGTACACTTGCCGCCGTGAAGAACAGCTCCATGCTGAACAGCCACCCTTGCACCGTCGTCGCCTTGTCCGAAGGGTTGAACGGGGGCGGTGTTGCTGGCTTGAGTTTTATCTTCGTTACGGTCACAGTGCGCACGTCGTCCTGCTCCAACTCCCGTGCGAGCACGTCAAGAACGGTTTCACTCGCTGCGTCGTCGACACCTTGCTTGACCTCGTCTTCGGCGACTCCAGGCGACTCCTGACGCGCTTCACCACGCGTCTGGTAAAGCTCGGTGTTCTCCGTCCGAAGTCTCACGACTTCACTGTTCAAACTCGCCATCTGGGCTTGCATTGCCTGCATCTGAGCCATGACCTCGTCTAGCTGGGCCTGGGACATGATGCGAATGCTACGCCTTTCGGGCAGGGGGAAGGCCGTGGTAAGAAACCGTAGGGGGCGCAAACGCTATCGTAGTTGTGTGAGCTAATAACTCTAGCTCACGGACAACCGCTTTGCAGCCCCGCA